AGCCACGGGTAATTCAACACTCAACTACCGCTTTACCTCTCGATTCCACCACCAATTCACTCGTACCTAGCCATAATTAATTCAATAACATCAATAAATGTTAAATAAACCAATTCTAATGCATGAATATGAATTCTCAAATGTTTCCCCCAAAACGTCAAAAATCAACCCCGACCTGCTTGGTCAAAACTCGAAGTTCGAACCAAAACCCGATCACCCATTCACTCCCGAACTCAAATATGGAATTATTTTTGAAATCGGACATCAAATCGAGGTCCAAATCCCCAAAATTTGAAAAAACTTAACTTCTACCCAAAAACACCCAATTTCCCATGAAAAACCCTTGATTTTGAAATGAAATTATGTAAAAAGATGTTATAGATTGAAAAATATAAGTTAGAAATTACTTACTAATGATTTGGAGAAGAATCTTTCTTTGGAAAATCGCCCAAGAGAGTTTAGGGTTTGAAAGAGTTTGAAAAATGGATGAAATCCCGTCAAAAATCCCACTTATTAGGTGCAGATGTCGCAATTGCGACCAGGGATTCGCAATTGCGAACCCTGAGAATTTCTGCTACCTTCGCATTTGCGAATACTGGGAATTTCTGAGAACTTCGCATTTGCGAAGAAATGCTGGCAAATGCGAGCAAGGCTGGCCAGGGCATTTTTCGCAATTGCGATCAGTCCCTAGCAATTGCCATGCCTGTTGGGCTCGCAATTGCGAAGCCTGACCTCGCAATTGCGATCAGTCCCTAGCAATTGCCATGCCTGTTGGGCTCGCAATTGCGAAGCCTGACCTCGCAATTGCGATCAATCCCTCACAATTGCCATGCCTTTTGGGCTCGCAATTGCGAAGCCTGACCTCGCAATTGCGAGATCAGAGCCTGCAACATCACTGGACCTGCAACAACTATTTTTCTAAGTCTAAATTCACTCAGTGGCCTATCTAAAACTCATCCGAGCCCTCTGGGCTCCAAACTAAACATGCACACAAGTTTAAAAACATCATATGGACTTGCTCGTATGATCAAATTATCAAAATAACATCAACAACTACGAATCTAACCTCAAATTCATGAAATTACCCAAGAACATTGAAATTTTCATTTCCTCAACTATAGGTCCGATTTGTACCAAACCAAGATTCTTACCAAATTTCACAAATTCAGCTTAATTATTATTTTAAACTTGTATCGGGATCCGGAACCAAGATACGGGCCCGATACCATCAAGAAACTGCATCATTTCACTTCTAAAAATCTTTATATTTCCCAGAAAATAATTTTCTTTACAAATTCTTTTTCTCGGGCTTGGAACCTCGGAATTCAATTTTGGGCATACGCCCAAGTCCCATATTTTACTACGGACCCTACGGGACCGTCGAATCACGGGTCCGGGTCCGTTTACCAAGAATGTTGACCAAAGTCAACTTTAATCAATTTTTACGGTTAAATTCATTACTTTTCTTAAATTTCATATAAAAGCTTTTCGGAAACGCGCCCGGACTGAGCATGCAAATTGAGGTGAGACAAGAAGAGGTTTTTAAGGCCTCGGAACACAATTTTTACTTCTAAAACAAGAGATGACCTTTAGGGTCATTACAATTAATCACAATACTTACCTCTTTCTGGAATAAATCAATAATCCAATACCGCTTTCTCTTTAGAACAAGCCTCCAAACAACTCCAATCTAATTAAATCATACAAAAATAAGTCAAAACAAGCTTAAGGAACTCTCCTAAGTCTAAAAAGGTTCGATCTTTAACATATTTGGAAAAGTCAACAAAAATTCAACCCGAGCCCACTTGGATGAAATTCAAAATCAAGACCAAATTTCGATTACACATTCATCACCAAGTCCAAATATGTAATTTGTTTCGAGATCCAACCTCAAATCGAGGTCTAAATCTTCAAAAAAAAATTGTATCTTAAGTTACTATCCTAAAACCCTATTTTTACTCTTTAAAATCCTTGATTTAGGGGTAAACGTCTATGGGAAGTAATGAAAATTAATCAAAATAATTTAAAATTACTTACCTTTGAAGTTAGGAATAAAATCTTCTCAAAAACTGCCTCCTAACGAAGTCGAGGTTTTAAAAATGGAGTAAAATGTGCTAATCTCGGAATGCTCCTTTTTTACCTAGCTGCAAATATCGCAACTGGGACTTGTTGTTTGTAACTTTGAAGCTCGCAAATACGAACCAGTAGTCGCAAATGCGAAGGTTCACCTGAGACACTAAAGTCACAAATGCGACTAAATGTTCACAATTACATATATAGAAATTGCGATTCCAACTTCGCAATTGCAAATCTAGGCTCCTTTCCAAAAAACTCGCAAATGCGAGTTAGCATTCACAAATACGAACCTCGCATTTGCGAGCTGGTCATCGCAAATGCTATGATTGTAGCATTAACAATGGAAAAACTTTCCAAAAACTTTCAAAACCAATTTGAAACTCACCCCAATCTCTCGGGACTCCATTCAAACATTCGAACAAGTATATAAACCTTACAAAAACTTGCTCGTAAACTCAAAACATGAAAATAACATAAAAAATTAAGAGTCAACCATCAAAACTAAAAATTTCACATGTTCATAACTCAAATTTTCAACGTTCAACTATAAGCGCAAAAATGGCCTCGGGTCCCCCGGGAACCAAACCAAATATATGCACAAGTCTAAAATTATCATACGAACCTAACGAAATAGTCAAAATACCGATCTGCGGTCGTTTACCAAGAATATTGACCGGTCAACTCCCACAATTTTAAAGTTGTAGAATTGAATTTCTCTAATAAATCACATTTAAACTTTTTGAAAATTGAAACGAACCATGAATACAATTAACAAAGCATCAATGAAGTTGTTCAATGCCTCAAATTACCACACGAAAATCTAGAGCTCAAAATGGCATATCAGATACTTACATTCTCCATCTCTAAAAGAAATGTTTGTCCTCTAATGGACATGAAATGTACCTGAACTGGAAAAATGATGTGGATATTTACTCTTTTTTTTCTGTCTTAGACTTCCACGTAGCCTCCTCAGTTGGTTGCCCTATCTAAAGAACTTTCACAGAAGAAATATCCTTATATCTTAATTTTTGAACCTGCCGATCTACAATAGCTATTGGCTCTTCTTCATAAGTCAAGTTCTTATCAAGTTGCACCGTGCTGAAGTTCAAAACATGCTACTTATCTTTATGATAATTTTGAAGTATTGAAACATGAAATACTAGATGTGAGCACGTGATTTTTGCCCGACTAGAAATACTCCTACAAAAATTTAAAAAATAGGGTTTTCTAAATTATTTTCAATTTTATAGAATATTGTAGGAATTTCTTAATTAATTGTTTGCATTTTTGTGCACATTTAATATTTTAAAATCATAAAAAATATCAAAAATATCAAATCATAATTACATAGCATTTTAAGCTTTAATTGCATTTAGAATTTAATTGCATAAGTTAATTGCACTCATTAAACAAAAATTCAAAAAAATATATATATATTACTCATGTTACATTTTAGCCTTAGCTTTAAATTAGTAATTTTATTTCATTAGTTTTAAGTTGATTAATTGTTCAAATATTAGAAATAGTTAATAAAGTTTATTTCACAAATTAGATTTGATTTAGGACCTAATTTAGGTTTTTAATTAATTAAGTTAGGATTTTTAAAATCAAAGAAGAAGGAAAAGGAGGAAAATTGGCTTGGGTCCCTATTTTGGGCAACCAAAAATAACTTCAAGTGACCCAATTCTTTTTTTTACTCACTTACCCGCTCAAGCCCAACTAAAATCCAACCAGCCCGTTTCCCCCCTTACTGAAACGACGCAGTTTCATCTCCTTTAATCCCAGCCGTTGGATTCTTTTGATCTGACGGATCGCAACTCCTCACTTTTTTCCTTTTAACTGTCTGAACCCCCCCCCCCCCCCC